GAGATCCTCAAACGGAGAACGCAGCCGCGGAGCAGCGCCTCGAATCCTGCCGGTCCCGGGCAAAAAGCCATGGCCAAGACCCTCTTGGGCAGCATGGGATCCTTGGAGCCGCGCGGTCCCGGAGAGATTCACATCCCCACCCTCCCCAAGAAGGTCCAGCAACCCGGCAGCCCCATGGGGCAATCTCCTACCTCGTCCCCACCTCCCACCGCCCGGAAGATGTTTCCAGGCCTTTCTCCTCCCTCCTTGCAGAAGAAACTCAAACAAGATCAACTGAGGGTGGAAATCAAGCGCGAGATGATGTCGGGAGGACTCCACGGAGAACCTCACCCGTCCGACCGAGCCTGGTCCCCGCGGGAGGAGATGTCTCCCTTGAACCTCTGTAAGTGAACGGCTGTCACCTTCCCCGCTCAGGCTGTGGGGCCGAGTGGGCCCGCGTTCCCTCGGGGACAGGGACACGGGGGTCCGTCTCACTTCAGGAGGGGCTGAGGGCTCTCTCCGGTGTTTTGGGGGAGCCCTCGGGGGAACCCTCGCTGTGGCTGGGGAGGAGCGGAGAGGGGGGATGTTAAGCACGGTCCTTCTCCCTGCCCCGACCCCACGTCTCTCTCCACAGCCTCCCGAGCCGACCCGGTGCGAGACATCCGCTGCGAGTTTTGCGGCGAATATTTCGAAAACCGCAAAGGTTTGTCGAGCCACGCTCGATCTCACCTCCGACAAATGGGGGTGACCGAGTGGTCAGTCAACGGTTCGCCCATTGACACCCTCCGGGAGATCCTCAAGAAGAAATCCAAACCCTGCATTATCAAGAAAGAACCCCACGCCTCCAGCATCGAACCCCCTAAATCTATTGGGGAGGAAGGGACGGACCCCAAGTCCCCTGGAAAAATCCTGCAGGGCTTGGCCCTGCCTCCCCTGGGCGGACGGACGGGGAAACCCAGCCCCGGCAGTTCCACCTTGAACCGGGAGATCTCGTTGTCGCCTCTCACCAGCAAACCCCAGGGCAGTTTCCTGACGCCGTTGTCTGCCAAGCGGCCGTTACAGGATGATCGGTTGGGTCCTCACGCCGAAGTCAAGCACAAGGCATACATCCAGACCGAGCTGCCCTTCAAAACCAAGTCCGTGCATGACAAACCTGCGCACACGTGTAAGTGGGGGATGCGGGGAGGGAAAAATGCGGTGTAACACCCCCTCCCCCGACACCACCCTGGGATGTCAATCACGCGATGGGGTGGGCATGGGGAACCCCCAGCCCCATGCCGGGAAGGGTTTTTGCCTCCTGGGGATGCAGAGCGGGGCGAGGGGAGCGGAGATTTGGGGTCATTGCTTTTCCCTGATCCAAATTAGCTTGGCTTCCTGGAGACCACCAGCCCCCCGCAACAGGGCCGGGGGATGTTTCTGGAGCTGAAAAATATGGGGAATTTTGATCCCATGGAGAACCCACCTCCGCGCAGAGCCGGTGTTGATGGGGGGGAACCGGCTCCGTGCCACGTCCCTGCCTTCTTTGCCCGCTCACCCCCAGCCCGGTGCGTTTCCTCCCCTCACCCCAGCCAGCGAAGCTTGCTGTGAGCTGTGCGGCCTCTACTTCGAAAACCGCAAAGCCTTGGCCAGCCACGCGCGGGCGCATCTCCGGCAATTCGGTGTCACCGAATGGTGTGTTAACGGTTCGCCTATCGAGACCCTCAGCGAATGGATCCGACATCGACCCCAAAAAGCCGGCGCTTACCGTAGCTACATCCAAGGCGGACGACCCTTCACAAAGAAATTCCGGAACTCTTCGCATGCCCGGGATCACGACGGTGGCGCTCGACGAATGCCGCTCAGCCTTCAGGCTGGCGGCGTGACCTTTCTGAGCAAAGGATTGCCGGGAGATTTAGCTCACGGCGATGCCGGAAAAATCCTGGATGGGGGAAGCAGCGGTGAGCGGCCCATGATCACTTCCCCCCTCTCCTTGGTGAAGGTGGAGGAACATCAACGCTCGAACATCAACAGTGAGTTGGGGAGAAGCCAGCCGGGAGAGGGCAGAGGGGGTCTCCGGCACCGGCGGAGCACCGGGGGAAAAAACCCTGCCCTGTCCCCTCTGCCCATTCCCGGCAGCGCCGGAAGGGGGGTTCTTTAGCTGAGACCCCACCCCTCCTCCTCCTCTTCCTCTTCCTCCCAGGGACCCGGTTCCCCATGATGAGTCGGGGCTGCTCCTCGCATCGGGGAGCCGAAAGCAAGAGCGGCGGTGCCGTGCCGGCGATGCCATGCTGCCTTCCATATCCCCCAAACCTCAACCTAACCCTTCCCGTTTCTCCCATCCCAGAGTTTGAACGGAGGCAAGCGAGACCCCTGGACAACCCCCTCCACCGGGAAGAAGAAGGGACTGAATTCCAGCAGAAAATGGAGGAGACGCGGCAGCCGCCGCCGCGGATGAGGCCGGTGCCTTCCCTGGTCCCTCGCCCGCCGCAAACCTCCCTGGTGAAATTCGTGGGGAACATCTACACCCTCAAATGCAGGTACGTCACCTCGGGAAAGTGCGGGGGTTCATTCTGTGTCCGTAGGGATTCTCTTTCCTAGCTGGAAGTGTTGCCTTTCCTTGCTCTGCGGCGTGGATCCCCTTTTTTTTTTTTTTTTTTTTTTTTGGTGGCAAAACCACAATTCCCAAGCTGATGCCGTGTCCTCCGTAGGTTCTGCGAGGTGGAATTCCAAGGTCCCCTCTCCATCCAGGAGGAATGGGTACGGCATCTCCAACGACACATCCTGGAAATGAATTTCTCCAAAGCGGATCCTTTACGGGGCGAAGCTCCCCCCCCACCCGAACCCCCCACCCTCGCCGAGGCTCAGTAACGGGAACCCAAATCCCTGGCTCTTTCACCATGACGGAGCCGGCACGGGGAAGCGACCGCGGATGGTGCCGGAACATCCTTACCCCCCCGCTGCCCTCCTCCCCGCCCCCCTCCTCGCCTTCCCATATCCACAATTCCTTATTTTTTATTTTTTTGGGGAAGGGGGGAGGGTGGGATCAATCGCTGCCTTTGCCCCTCTGGAGCTTTTCCCCCCCATTTCCGGGGGAGGGGGTGGGCGGGGGGGGGGGGGACACACAACACACACAACCCCCGCCACAAGCACTACATGGATCAAGACAAACCCTTGGCTGATCCCACGGGAGACACGCAGCAACCGGGATCCGGCACCTGATCGGGGAGGGAACGACTTGATGCCAGTCCCGGCACAGAATGGGGAGGGGGGGGGGGCATAGATTTTTCCCTCCTTCTCGCTTTCCAAAATCC